AAATATAAAAGTGAACAAAGAAGTCAACACTTAGAGGCGACAGTCTGTTTCATGCTATATGCAATCGTGGCCTGCGATTGCATATGAAACAGACTGTCATTTTTATGTTGACTTCTATGTTCACTTTTATATATATATATATATATATATATACAAAAAGGTGGACATTGAAGTCAACATGCAGAGCTGAGTCTATTTCATGCTTATCGTCAGGCCATGTGTGTTGTGTTTTTGCTTGAATTTTTATATATAAAGGGTTATTTTGGTGGGCACGGTTTGTTATTATTTACTTATTTATTTGGATTATTTTACTTATTTTTTTTTATTCATTTATTTTTAGTTTTCAATTTTTAAGTAATGTAGTAAAAATTTGTTTTTGTGTGTATTTTGAGATGAGTTCTAATCATTTATTTAGTAGTTTGTTTTGATCTGGGAAGGTAATTATAGCTATTTTTTCCTCCAAGCAGAGTTTATAGTTTTTGGATTGATTGTTGTAGGCTGATGTTCTTTTCTATATTTTTGGTGTGATTTGTTTTAATTTCCCAGATATGTTTAGAAAGCATTGTGCTTTTCATGTATTTACTATTTGTAAAGGATGTTTGTTTCCAGGGTCCTTCAGTTAATCCTATGTATATTTTTTCTTTATCTGCAGATTTTACAGTGGCTTGGTATATCAAATTATTTTGCAAGCAATGGACATTCATTCTTTATGTTGCAGTTCAGGTGGTTTATCGATTGTTTTACTGTTGTTCTTTTTTATTATTTGTGTCATCTTCTCAGTGCAACTGTAGCAGATTTTTACTATGTTTTTGTTGAATATCTTGTAATAGTAGTAATTCTGTTAGGAAAAAACCTGGGTGTAGATTAATATTTGGATAATATTCAATGGCAGCACTCTCTTTTTCCCAATATTACCTTTCCTAACTAAATTACTCTCTTAAGGCAACATATGGAACTATATCAAGAAATCAAAAGAAAACAGTTGAATCTGTCAACCAAGAATAAAAACCATATTTCTACAGGTGAAAATACTTGATGTAATTTTCAGTTGGTAATATAAATACAATATCATTTTCTAAATTCTTCTAGTTGCTAAGGACATTTTGTTTGTTGTTAATAGTTATTTTGTTTTCAATAAATTCATTTTGTTTTTGCTTTGAAAAAGTCCACATTGGATGAAATGTGTCGGTGAATAATACAGTTTTCCTATTGTCTTTTACCTTTATAGTCTTTTCTACAGGTTAACTCTGATAAATTTTATATATATATATATATATATATATATTCATTTCATTCAAATGGAGCCATCACAATTGATATCAACATAAAAAAAAATTAATTTAAAAAGAAAAAAAAAACAAACAAGTGTGACAGACAAATTAAACTCAGTTTATTTTCATTACATCTTATTGATATCTTATTATTGATATCTTGTTGATATCTATCACTGTATATTCCACTCACATCACAAACACTTTTTTTTAAATTATCAAGAGAAAAAAAAATTAAATAATTGATTTTTTTTCTGTTGTATAACAGATATGATAACAAATACATTTATAAAATGTTTAAAATTGGCAGGTTTTATGTGAAAATCAAGAAACTGCCCAAGTTGGGGGGGGGGGCATTAAAGAATGCTGAAAAATTAGCTTTGAAAAGAAAGAAATTAGATGCAAAGGATAAGAAAGTGATTATAAGGATTTTTGTTTTGGTTTTTGATAAATTTATAGCTAAATAATTTAAGATACAATTGCTTAATTCATTTCTGATTGTTTATTAAGACGAAAAATGTAATGAGAATTGTATTATTTTAGAGTTGAAGATTAATTGTTAAAGACATCAGATACATTGCAAGTGAAATAATAAATCAAAAAGTGAAAAACAAAACATAAGTGGAAAATTTAAAAAATTTCTTCCTAGGCTGATAGAGAAAGAGTGGCTTGAATAAAGAATTAAAATTAAGGTCATAGTTGCAATAGTTAACTATAAATAAACTATAAAAAAGGTTGCTTAACATGGAATAACAATATTAATAATTAATATCAATATTAATAATTAATAGTAGTTAGGTGCATTTGTCATCTGATTCACACACCTCCCTAACTTTTTGAACAGTAGCAGAGATTTATTTCGTTTCCTGTTTAGGATTGGGTTTCCGGTTCCTTCTAAAGCCTTTTCCTTCTCTTTCACTCCCAGTGGCCCCTTTGCATCTTAGTGGTATTATCACCTTACTTGGTGTGGTGTCTTTTACTCTGTAACCCTCTAGCTCGAGTGACTCTTGGGCCTTGTACCGGGTGAACATCATTGTAATTTAAAATAGATCAATTATTCGTGTGCTGATCTTTGTTCACAGGAAAAAAATTGTGAAGAGTTGATTTTAAAAGCAGAACAAGTCCGGAATAAAAAAAAAAAAGAAAAACAAAACATGATATTGTTTTAAATTTCAAAATATTGGACATCCGTGATTGAAGGGATTTTTTGGAATGATATTTCTAAGGATTTCTTGAGGAAATAAATTTTATATACTGTTATACATGTGTTTTAAGACATTATTTTTACTAAGAGCCAACCTAGGTTTGTTGTCACATATTTTTGGATATATCACTGGATATTTATTAAATGCAGTACTCATTAGTTAATAAAACACACACGCACATATCAAAATTAATTAAAATGCATTAGCAAATCTCTCTCTCTCTCTCTCTCTCTCTCTATATATATATATATATATATATATATACACACATAAATTATTTTCAGATGAGTGTATCTGTTAAGGAACAAAATGAATAAAAAAGAAGAGGTAAAACTATTTTTAGCTGATGGATTTTATCAAGACAATTGATAATGTCTCTCAAAGGATGAAACATGTCAGATAAGAATAGTTTTTCCTTTTGTCATTTTATTCATATTATATAAAATTTTGTATTTACGTAGACATCCCTCTTTTATATGAAATGAGACAGTTTCCACACAACAAGTGAAACCTGTATAAAAGAGGGTTTGCTACCAAAATAAAAACCATTACCTTTTAAAGAGTGTAATCAAGAAAACAGAATATAATGCAAGTAAAGGTGAGGGCTAACTTCATTTTGGCCATTCCTTGAAGGGAAACATTTTAACAGTTACACAGCTTGATGAGCTGCTCGTATGCGTATGGTATGGTAAATTGCTAGAGACATTGCAAGCAAAAAGAAACTAACCCCGAGAATCGACATAATACATGGATAGAGTAGGGCTTGTTCATAAGTGAATTGCAAATACCAAAGAACAGCAAAAACTATAATAATTGAAGGGTAAAGGATTAATTCAAATGAGAGATCCTGTCCATTTTCAGCATTGACATTTCCTGATTGAACAGAGTTTGATATCGTTTCTTCACGATGCCTGCCTGTGAGCGATGGTGTTACAAGACAATGAATCACAGAGTTTCTTTTCACATTGCAGGATTCAAGAGTGCATCTGTCATTGCTCAAGGACTTGCCATGGAAAATAAAACGGATTGTTTTGTTTTCAGAAAGTTCTTTCTCAAAATGCAATCTGAAAGATAAAAAAAAAAAAAATACACTTTTCTTAAGAAAATCCATGAATTGTTATTCAAAACAAATTCAAATTATGATTTTTAAGTAAATGCATGAAATTAAGAACTCTACAGTTCAGCTTTAATTAAATAATTCTATATTGACACTAGATCCAATTTTCTTATTCAAATCAATGCTTTTAAAATAAAAAATGGTATGAACCAACTGATGCTTGTAAAATTGTCGGAATACATTTTTTCATAAGCAACATATTGAGAATTTCAGCTTATCGTTTTGACCTTATTAAAAATATTCATATTAACTTGTTTAAGGTGTCAGTTTTTATTATGCACAATGCGTAATAAATAAATAAAACAATCTTAACCTCTTCAAGAGTCAGCCATTGTCTGACCTTCATATCGTAATAATTTGAAATTACATGAAAATAAAGAAAAAGAGAGGATTTCAAATCAGTTATCCTTCTTTTTATAAGTATTTTTAAAGACAAGACTAAGTGTAGAAGCATCTGATGGTCTTCGCAATATTTATTGGAACACTTTAAAATGAAGGAACAGAATCAAAGATATAAACAAATAATATATATTTATTAATGTTATGTTTTTTTTTGTTTCAGAACTGCATTTAAAGAATAATCATAAGTTGCCCTTAAAATTGGATGACAATGGCTATGTCACAGGAAAAGGCACAATCTGTGTCTTGGTTTACCAAAACAAAGTCAGGTATGAAATAAATTAATTCACAGCTAAATATGGGGAACCAAGTTCTGACACTTCAGTCAATTCTGATGACTTTGTGGGCATCAGATGGACAATAATAAAACACAATCCTCCTGACACATAACAACTTGTAGGCGTGCCATAAAAATATCCCTCACTGGGAACCAACTAAATTAGCCTTGAAATAGATACCCTACCCAACCTTAGCAAAACATCTCAGAAGATGAATCTATTGATAAGAATTAACTCTCTGACCACTTAACAAAGAAAAATAGTCTAGCCACTCCCACAATAACAAGTTTTGTAACGGACCATGCCTAAAAACACACGTAAACCAAAAGATAGCTTATTCCTAAAATTTCGCTTGAAGATGAAACGGGACTAAACACCTCAATTCAACTTAATTTTAATAATTATTTGGATGGTTTCGGCTCTCGTTTTTGAAACATGAGAACTCTTATGTAGCGAAGGAATCATATTTTTAAACAAAAAAATATTATTATAATAAAGCTCTACTTCTGTATGGAGCACTGTCTTCTTAAAAATAAAAAAAAATACTAAGGAACTCCGGATTATACACCCAACGTGTTCTTTTCTATTTTCTGCATACCTGTGCACTTATATATATATATATATATATATATGCATGTAATTGAATATAACAAACCTAATGGGAATTGGAACGTGGCTCTCCAATTAACAATTCTGAGCCATTATCCATTACATCACCTGCACATCTGAGCTTACGACACCTGATATTTCCAAGTGGTCACCCATCTCAGTACTGGCCATGCTTGACGTTGCTTAATTTCATTGATCATATGGGAGATAGTTTTACAATAAGATGTGGCCATAAGCCAGTCTTGTTGGAGGCTTATTCTTCATTTTATATCTCCACTGCTTATTAATGAAATGACAATATGACAGCAATAATAAAAACAATTAAAATAAGATGACATTAATACTAGTCAAAATAGATAACTGACAATGCTTACTCAAAGAAATTCTTTTCCATCATTTAATATTTCTAGTGTAATAAAAAGCATCAGAAATTAAGATATCAGCAATACTAGTTAAAAATTAATAACTGATAATGTTTCATCTAAGATATTTTAATATTATAATTTTTTAAAAATTTGTTAAAATCGGCTACGTAATTTAAAGAATTTATTTTCTAATATCAAAATATTTTCTGTTCTGGCGTATCTCTCCAATTTTATTATAATTTTATAAAAGAGACGTGTAAAAAAAAACAAAACAACAAACATTTGCTTACCGTCGAAAATCGCCAACTGTGTCGGTAAGTCGGGCTTGTACTATCCTGTGTGTATTGTTCATGTATATTAATTTTATATCAACTTTTCTGGCCAAGTTCTGCGTTTCAAGAGAAGTGACATTCTCTTCAGTTAAGTCAGAACTTCTGTCTTCTGAAGATGACACTGTAGAATCTGGAGTTTCAGAGGAATTAGCATTTTGGGTTGAGGTTTCCTGCGATTCTTCAGAAGACATCTTTTCTCTATCTTCCTGTTGTTGCACTCCCTCTGCCAAGGAAGCTTGACTGTCACTTTTAAAAGCTGCAGCTTGAGTATTTTCACCTTCTGTATTGTCAGTTGTCTGAGATGTTTGAGGAGCATCATCCCTGGGTGGGGCACTAGCTTCAGCAGGTACTTCTTGTGCAACAGGAACCACAATGTCACTCTGAGCAACATTGGTGTGAACAAGGTCTTGCATAGACTCCAAAATGAAGACATTAACAAATGGAATGAAACGAAGCTGAGTAGATAGCCAACAGGCAGTGATAATGACGACAGCAAATATTACCATCATGGCAATAGTCACTTCATCACCAAATCCTTCTATCATAGGCATCTTGGAAGCTAGAAGCTGCAAAGAGATAACAAAAACACTTAGTATAAAAAACAAAAGGAAAGTTCAACTGAATTTCAACAGAAACAATTGTAAATTTATTTGGAGATTTATAATTTTGAGAGACGAGTCCTCCTCACTCCATTTATATAGCATAAGGCCAGGATCTCAGCACCCTAGGTAAGACTTTTTACAGGGTGGAGTGACCAGCTCCACACCCAACCAGTTTTTAATTTAGAATTATCCTTCTCCTAAACTGGTTGCCAATCAAGGCTAGGAAGAACAGTCAATCCCACTATTAAAGAAAATTTCCCTCCTGACAGGAAATGAATAAAACTTTTGATCTCTAAGTCAGTAGATATTAATTTTACTGTTGTAAAAACAAAAACAAAATGAAAAACATGGATGTCTACTTAAACATGTGTACTCACTAAATATAATGGTTTAAAGTGAGTAGATATGCTTGCCTATCTAGTTCATACTCCTCCCTGATTTTTTTTTTGAACAGGAGTACAAGGTTTATCCCCTGTTTCCTGTTTAGGATTGGGTTTCCAATTACTTCAACTCTCTACTTGACGTCTTGGCCTGAAATCTGGAATTTTATTCAGTAACTATATTTTCCTCCTCCTCCTCCATTAGGAGTAGATAGTTTTGCCTGTCATCTGGTTCACCCTCCTTCCCAGTCTTTTGAACAGTAGTGGTTTATCCCTTGTTTCCTGTTTAGGATTGGGTTTCCGATTCAATCTAAAGTTTACTTCAAATCTATACTTCTGACGTCTCATCCTGAACTCTGAAATTTTATTTGTTAATTAAATCTTGACCAATTCAAGTCTAGAATTAACTGTCTTTCTTGTTATCTTGCCCTTTCTTAAACTAATACAACTCCACACAGTAAGTGATCCTCTTGAGCTTTGTATTAAATGAACATTACTATAAAAAAAGAAATAATATCAGATTTTAAAAAATATATTAATCGCTTAAATATTACTTTGCTTATATTTTGTGCAAAAAGTTAATTCAAAACATTCCAAAGTAAGATCTGTATTTCTTAAACAGGTTGTGGTTTGCTTTGCTGTAATGGCTTCCTGTGGCTCAATGGTAAAGGACACTTGACTTCCTAACAGGCATTAATTTGTGAAAAAAACAAGAATATCTACTCAAATACGTGTATCTACTAAATATAACATTTATAGTCATTTATAAACATTATAACTAACCTCATATTCTGAGCCTTCCTTTATATTTAAAAAGTAATGATTTGAAAATAAAATTAAAAACATAAATGAAATATAATTTATTTGAACTATATTTTCTGTATGCAAAAATTCAAATTTAATTTAATCTATGTGAAGATAAATGCTCAGATAGATTTCATTTCCATAGAGTGATATTTTTGGCCAATAAGTTCACAGAAACAATGGAGAGGGAGAAGAAGATTTCTGCCAATATTTTCCTTTCTACATAGTTTATATAGGATGGGAATAATTCTTGGATTGTAACACTTTGTTTGCCTAACTTCCTCTTACAGCATTTCCAAAGATTCTAAACTCTGGCATCTTGGGGATGCACAAAATGTAGTGATTGAGGAGGGATCAGGACATGAAGGTAATTACACAAATATAAGGGAGATAATTCAAGGTTGTTAAACAAAACTAAGGTTTTAATAACAATCGAGTATTTTTGTTTCTTTGGCAATTATCTGATAGCATTCAATATGAATGAATATCTTATGCAATGAGAGACACACAAAACCTAATAAATAATGTAAATTATAATGTATTTCGATACTTTCATATATTTTTAATTTAAAATGTACTGAAATAATGTAAGTAATTTTGAAGTTTCAGTTTCAGTTTTAATTGTAAAATAACATATTCAATTATGTGCCATGCATGATACACGCTTAGGCCATCGTGTTGTTACGGTTTTTTGGGTATATAATACCAATAACTAGTGATCGAGTCAGAATGACTTATTTCCCTTTATAGTCGACCAATAGAAGGTTGACCAATCAGAAGCCGCCCAACACTGTATTCATCATGTATAAAGGCGGCCATCTTGTTTCCTCCTACCGGAAGGACCAAAGGCGACCAGGAGAAGGATGAACTACACTCTGCTGTGATATCCACTGCGAACCTAAAGTACGCTTTCCTACTGTCTCCGAAATATTCACTGCTAACCTCTAGATTCAATACTCAAGGACGACCGTCATGGAAATGTCTAACACGTGTATCTTTTGAGACATGATTGACAAGGCAGATTTTTTTCCCCGCAGTAGGTTGCCATTTCTTTCTGTGGGAGATCAGTTGCCATTCTGCTATTTACCAATAAGGAGACGAAGAGGATTCATACCTTCCCAAGGGTATTAGCATGTAAGTGAATGTCACGGATTCGACTGGAAAGTCAGTCACTCAGTGAGATACATGCTTAGGCACTTGTGTATCTTTCAATATATGACTGTCAAGGCAGATTTTTTTCCTACAGTAGGTTACTATTTCTTTCTGTAGTAGACCAGTTGCCATCCAAGACTATAGAAGCCAGTCTGTCCTGCTATTTACCCATAGCTGGGGGAGAAGAAGAGGATTCATACCTTTCCCAAGGGTATTAACATATAAGTGAATGTAATAGATTCGACTGGAATTTGAACTTGGCTCTCCGATTCCTCAATCCGAGCCGCTATCCATTACTCCACTGTGTCTCCTCACTGAAGGTGCAAGCGACCTGCATTTCTCCTCATCCCCTCTAGTTGTAAAAAAAAAAAAAAAAAAAAAAAAAAAAAAAACAAACATACTTAGATACTTAAGGTTTTTTTTAAGTTTTTTTTTTGTTATGTCACCCAAAATTACTTAGATTTAGAAGCACTGACATGGCTGACCAAAATGACATGTGTGCACAGAAGAGAATATGCTAAGCACCATGAAAAGCCATAAGAAATAACTGCAGTCTTTAACCTTTGTGTATGCAAAAAAAAAATGGTATGTCAAAAGGATGATATTTCCCTTGACACTACTATTATTTTAACTACCCCCACTCCTTGGTGATTATTAAAACTGTAATAAAACCTAAACATATAAAAGGGAATTTACACATTTTCTTTATTCTTAAGAATGACAACAAAGATGTTAAACACTATTTATTAGAGTGTTTATTTACACTATTTATTTATTAGGATGGTTGGCAAAACATTGGCTAATTGCTAATCCATTCAAAATTTATAAAATAGTAAATAAGAATTTCCTTATAGTTGGTTCACATATTTTAATAATTTAGTAAAAATTTTTATAAATTTATGAATAAAAAATTGTTTTCATATTTATTTCTTTATGAATTGGTGGAAATTGGCAGAAATTGCATAGTGATAGGAAAATAAATAAATAACTACTAAATCAAAATTTTACCATCCCTAAAAATAGATGTATATTCAGAATCATTAGTCTATAAAATCATATTTTGACTAACCAATCAGAAGCCATCTTGACCAGGAGATAAACATCATAATCCAGTGAGCAAGTCTGAAACAAGAACTGCTGCAAACCTGGATATAAAGGTCACTAATTGGGAGCCAATGAAAATCGAAATAGCACACTTGAAGTGGATCAGTAGATTTATATAAGAGGGTAAGTCAAAAACTATTTGCACTTTCGTCATAACATATCTTTAAGTTTGTCTGCTGATAGTTGGTACTATTGTGGTCACATGATTGACAAATTGAGCTTGATCGTGCCAGTTTTCTTGCTGCTGTTACAGTGTAAACATGGCTGCTCTGCCAGCAGTGTGCACTAAGGAGAAACAAAGAGCAGTGATTTGATTTCTCTGGTTGGAACATGTTAGGGGATGAAATTCATTGGAGGCTTTTAACACAATATGGCGACAGTGCACTACTTCATTGAAGTTGTGTACGAGTGGATCGAGAATTTTAAAAGTGTCCAACAAGTGTGGCATATGAAGAAGCACCAACCCTCTACCACTGACAATAAGATTCAGCA